TTGTGTTCCTCTCGGATAGGACAAGGGTAGAAGTTATACTGAGTAGAGTAATGGTTAGAAAATTTTTTCCAGTTAGTAGATAAGATATGAAAAAAGCTTGCTCTCTAAATCTCTAGTTTATAGAATTTCGATATGATCCTAATGGTGCCCACATCCTAGGGTGAACAATCCGGCAAGAAAACGCTCGATTCCAAGTTTTTCCTGGGATTTCATGGAAGCAGTATTCCGAGACGGAATTCGCCGGATTTTTCCGCTTTTTTTTCTGTCATTCTCGACCGGAAATAGAGGGAAAATTCGAGGAAAAAATTCGACGGCTTCCATTTGTAATTCGAATATTCTGTTCTTGAACGAAAACGATGGCAGCCGACTTGATTTTTGACGAATTTTGTACGTCCAATATCCGTACGGGTTCCTACCGACGTTTCCGACTTACTTCCCCTTCATTCCTGAGCTCGGAAGCTGTCTACGGTTACAGTATCTGTATCCAGCATGGTTCCCAACTGCTATTTCAACAACTTATCCTAATACAGAGTACGGATCATATCTTACCGATTTCGGGTTGCTTACGAAGTTCAGAGTGGCCTATCGAACACGGCAAAAAAATGTAGTTTGGGGTCCAATCTTTCCAATCATATAATAAGTTGTGAATTGGTGATGAATTCTTTCAAGAAGACACATTTAATTTATTTCATCGACACAATGAAACGTATTTCAAATACACAGAATTAATATTAAAAAACGAAAAACATTTATAGAACATGCGACAAAACGACATTCATTAATCCGTTCGGAACGGAAATGTATATATGCGTTTTGAGATTTTGTACAGATTTTACTTGTACGATCTTCTATCTTGACTAGGCTATAAAAGCATTCTTTCGTTCCTTTATGCTCCTAGTAGCACAGCATTATCGTTTGGTACCATTACGTATGTATATCAAGCGAAAAACAAATGTTTTCAGATCTACAAATACACTGGATATATGGAATCTTTACACTCAAAGCTTTTTCGAATCCTGTGAAAATAAACAGAATTCCATAACTGTTGTTGTTCAATGTAGTTGTGACTACTGCTGACCTTTTAATATGACAGACCACCAGATGTTAAAGCTTATCGCATCTATTATGTTATGATATGGGCTTTTAAGGATCTCGAATATATTCCATCGTTAAAGAGTTATATTAAATTAATTTTTAATGGTATAATAATAGAATATTTTGTTATTGTATTATCTGCTAATCAAGTTCATATAAAACTGATCAAGTTCAATACATAAAAACAACAAAATGATTTTTATAGAGAAATAATTTCGAAATGAATTGTTATTAGCAGAGATATATAAGAAGCTGAAATATCTTTGCTACACTATCCATTTTAATAAAACTCTTCGATGATATTTGTAGAAAAGATTGAAAAACAATTTTAAGTAATTTCCTCTAATACAAATAATAATGATACATAAAATGATATTCTTGACAACAGTATTGATTTGTGAATATTCTTTGATTGAATATCTATCTCATCCTTTTTCGAGTCGGTTCGATTAGAGAATAGTCATTTGATAATAAACAAAATGATCAATATTATCTAACAAAAATGAGCAAAAACTTGTAAAATGTTCGACTATTTTTCGAAAAACCATTTAGATCCTTCTCATAACACAACTTTGATTGTTGACGCAATCGTTCAGTAATAGTCTCATTCCAAAGGTTATAAAAATAATCATAATAATTGAATATGTTAGAAAAAGAAATTAACTTGATTATTGGTTAAATTTCGATAAATTCATAATGAGTAGAGTAAGTCTAAATCATGGACACTTTAGTTAGATTTTCTTTGATAGAGTATTTATTGTTGAAAATGAATTGATTAATATAATTTATTGAAATAAGTGTATCTAATCCTGAAGAATGTATAACATTTTATGGAATGTGTAATTGGGATATATTTAATGAGTACATTAGTAAATATTTTGAATTGTTTTATTTGATCAAAATTATAAATAAAAAAAACACTTGTTAAAAGTAACAGAAGTAACTTATGTTCATTCAAAACTAATGATTGTTGATGATCGAATGTGTATATGTGAATCAGCAAATATAAATGATCGTTCTCTTCAAGGTTCTCGAGATTCCGAATTTTGTTTAGTTTGTTAATGATGTTGAAATGATTGATTCGCAATTAAATGGTTAAAAACAAAAAGTTGGACTTTTTTCTTCAATATGAAGAAAGAAATTATTCAGATTTATTTTTATTTCATATTATCATAAATATATCTATTAATTTTTAAAGACAAATGTTGAGTATTAAAAATGAAAAAGAAATGAATGTTGATAATCCATGTTTAGATGAATTTTATGAATATTTTTGTCGAACAGTAAAAACTAATGCACAAATGTATGAAGAAGTATTCAATACATTACCTACTAATCAAATTAGAAATTTTGTTGCAACTGGAAACTATACTGAAAAATCTAAATTGAGAGACACTGATCCATTAACTGTATGTTAGATATTATCTATTCAATTTTATCAATGCGGTGCGAAGTACAGCATTTATTTAGTTCTTCGCGTACGCATCCAATGTCCATATTTTGTGACGCGATGATCTCGAGAACGACACATTGTCTGATGTTCGTTGAAACGCCATGAGAATCAATGACTTCTGAATGTGTACAAAATTTTGTCCGATTTTTTCTATGACCTTGCGCTCGTCCAAAGTAGAATCCGAATGTTATAAACTTTTTTAGCTTTCTTTTATTGAAAACAAGCAATTCTTTTGAGAAATGCGTCAGAGTACCACACTTATAATACGTTTATTATTTTGAGAAAAAGTGAATTATTTCACAAACAAATTAAATGAATATTTGGATTCATATTTTGGGTCAAACAGCCTTTTTATAAAATAAAATTCTTCCAATGTACAGAGAAACATTTCTTAATATCACATTCAAAAAAATATCCATTAAATGGGACTATTTTCAAGGTCAACATATCACTATACAACAAGCAGAATGTATTTGAATATTAGGACAGAAAAAAATAGTTGTATAAAATAGACGACAAACGCAAATGAATAAAACTATTTTACCTTGATTAATAAAAATCTCTTCAGTAAATTGGAAAAGATATAGATAATATGACATCGTGATAACAATTCTGTTAATTTTTTTCCTTGCATTAATTTCTCATACTGTACTTTCCAAAGTTCTTATCAACACTTCTAGTAATCCATAGTTACAACTTTAAAGTCATTTATCATATTTTCAATCTATTCAATATGATTATTTTTGATAAGAAAAAAAGTACTGCATATTTATTGATTATTGTCATAATACTTTAGTCAAATTTTAGTCCAGTTTCTATTTTGTCGTTACTAACTTCTTGCATAGGCTACCGAGGAATATTCATTGTTTTGTTCGTAATAAAAGCTGGAATATTTTTATAACATATTCACTCGATGAATAATGCATTTTCACATATTTATTTTTTCGTTCTCTTCAAACACAATTTATGAGTAATACCTATAACAACCGACTTTTGTTTTTATTGTCCTTTTTTTTGTTTCTTTACATCTCTTACTATCTTCTATTACTTCAACAAGCAAATTGATGCGTTGTAAAAATATTCATCAATTTCTGTTTTCTTTTTATGTCTCTTATCACTTATTGACGAACTTATAGTATCACAAGTAACTTGAGTCAAAGCAAACAAGACATATGTAGTATTTTCATTTGATAAATATTTTTACAGAAATCTTTGTTTTTTCTACTTGTAAATGTAAAAGTTTCTTGGGATGAATATGAATCATACTTTTAGAAGTGGTAGATCACGGTCTAAGAAAAGGTTAAAATAAAAAGGTTAAAATAAATCTAAAAAGGATATGCTTAGATAGACTGAAAAATTTCAATTCTATAGCTTGGTTAAAAAGAATCATTATTTGTGTTGTCTGCCTGTTACCTTCCATAAAAAAGAAAAGTTTCCAAAACAAAAATGGGATCACTACAAAAATTGATAATAATTGTGAAATTTTGAAGTCATTTCAAGAATACTTATAATATATCAGTACCTGTCTTATAGAAATGCTCACTGTAAATAATGACTGAAAAAATCCCAAGGAAGTGATAGAACAAGAAAAAAAAAGTTGAATAAAAGAGGAGAAAAAAAGTATTCGTCAGAGTATTTTGTTTTTGTTTTGAGAAGCAATAGCTGCTCTTGTGCAACACGCTGTACAAACTGTAATAAAAAGGTATGGCGGCGTCAACGTCAACACCATACGACATACTTGGAGCAAAAAAAACTGATAATGATTATCAATTACGTCAAGCATATCGTGCACGAATCCGTGAATATAAAAAAGATCGACTTCGAACTCCTGCAAATCGTAAAATTACACCTGAAAAATTTCGACTTATTTGTCGAGCTTATGAAACATTATCTGATCATGATAAACGTAAAGAATATCATCCAGATGGACCATGGTTGCAACATATACCTTTAGACAAATATACATTACAACAATTAGCTGCTGAACCTGAACTTACAAAACAATTAAAAATTCGTTTACAAAATGCTACACTAAGAGACATAGATGCCCAAGATCCACACAAAGGACATACAGCACTCTATTGTGCAGCACGTGCTTGCAATGTAGAAGCTGTCAATTATTTAACAGAACAAGGGGCTGAACCTGATCGAAAACAATGGGGAGGAAGTACAGCTCTACATGTAAGTGCTTTTTATGGACATCCAGAAATAGTCCGTTGTTTATTGGAATGTGGAGCTGATTATCGAATAAAAAATGATGGTAATAATACGGCCGAATATGAATCTTATAATGATAATGTAAGACAAATGTTTACTGATTTGAAAACTACACCTTTTGTACAAGCAGCTGCAGATCAACTTGACTGGTTTAAAACTAATATTAGTAATATCACACAACATATTGATGAACAATATCATGTGCAACGACAAACATTACTTCATTGTGCTAGTAAAAAAGGTTATATGGATCTCGTTCGTTGGTTAGTCGAAAAACGTTCAGCCAATTTAGACATTGTTGATATTAATTTAAATTCAGCTTTACATCTTGCTGCTTATGGCGGACATAAATCAGTTGTTGAATATCTTCTCAATCGAGGTGCTAATCCACTTTTACTAAATAAATGGTGTATGACAGCTGAACAAGAAGGTTTTATTCATGGTAAAACGATTACAGATCTATTTCAATCGATGCGTGAACAAGACATGTTTGAGATAGCTGTTAAGGGTATCGATTGGTGGTTTGAATACTATTTTGGTAATAAATCACCGAATAAAGCTAATGATAAAGGTATAAATTTATTGTATCTTGCATGTCGTTATGGCCGAACATCAGTTGCAAAATGGCTTTTAGATAAAGGAGCTAATGTTAATATAAAACTTTTAGACAAATCCGAAAGTACACCATTACATGGTGCTGTCTATAATGGACATGTTTCAACAGTTGACTTATTATTAAGTTATGGAGCTGATGTAAATATAAAAAATAAATATGGTTCGACTCCTATTGATGATGCACGAACTGATGAAATGAAACAAATTTTAAAACGATATCGAGCTAATCTAGATGGAAATAAATTTTTTTCTGTACATTTATTTGGTGATGGTGCAAAGTCTGGTGA